AGCCCCGCCTATTGTATCCAAATTCAATACCATCCATTTGAATCTAAAGAGACTGTATTGTGTTATCGCTAATTATACCCTGTTAGCGCAAACCGTGCACTGGCAGCCCTAGCATCGTAATGGAATCCACGAAGCCTTCACGGTACGCCGCCCTTCCTCGTGTTTTTTATTGAACACCCGCTGAAATCTAACAGCGGGCGGCGGCCGCAGTGGCATCGCGTCATCACAACACCCACCCGCGGAATGTTCGATATAATGCTGAATAGCTGACATTGAGTGAATCTACTTTCGCGACTGATTCACTTCTAAAATAAATTGTTTTACTTTTTTAGCCTCCATCACTTTTTATCGCTTGTTTGAAATGGCAATTTATTTTTAAGATTACGCATAAAAAGCATTCCCTATTGAAAGAAATAATAAGTAGGTAAGTGTTGTGTTTTTATTGTAAGACGGGAAGGTTGTTGGCACGAAGTTTTACGAATTCACGTCAGGCTCCCTCCCTTACTAGATTTTTTTTAATAAATATAAGACTAAAATTATATTTTATTTATGTATATTATATATTTATTTACATTTTTGATATGCCAAAAACTAAAATTTTATTGGCAATAGTCTTAATATGAGTAGGTAATATCTCAAATGAGTCGTAATGGATAATTTTCCTTTGCGTTATAGACCAGCAACAGAAAAGGCACTGTTAGGTACTTCTAATGATCAGTGACAAATAGCGTAGGTGTCGTCAAGCAACCATCATTTGTTATGGCGTTCCCTTGACGAGTTCAGTTTATTTGTATATCAATAGTCCCCAGCAACATTACTGCCTTCAAAATTAGTTATTGTGTAAACGCGATTACAAAATGTAGCTTTAATGGACGTCTTGCCTAATCTTATTACACATTACATTGTATTACTATTATTTTAATATATGAAATGAAAAACTCGCTATATTTACGATCATGCAATAAAATCTGCAGACATCTATTTAGTTTTGTAATAGTAACACAAACAATACAACACTAGGAAACAACTCTAATTGACTGTATACTAACATCATGAACAACACACGGACACAATGCACAATCATTTATCATTATTACACAATACTCATTAGTTTTATATAATGATGAGTTTACAAAAAAAAAAAGTCAGGATTTAGCGAAGAATAATAGTTGAACGATAAATAAAATGTTAGTAAAAATCCAGGTCCAACACGAGATAGAATTCTAGATTTCGATATTCGATTGGATCAAGTCACATCTGACACTGGCTCTTACAAATTCAATAGATATAATTGTTGTTATCTTACATAATAATAAAAAACTTAATATTTTATTACGCCGTTAAAAGATCTATATTCCAAATAATCTTATCAATGTTTATCACAAGTTTTATCCATTCATTGCGACTTTACATAACAATATGCTTTCATTCGATTTTATTCACGGCCCAAAACTGATACATGCTTTACTGACGACACCTTCAATGTAAAAGAATAGTAGCTAATTAAAGGTTTTTACCTTAAACCAACTTCTTCACTTCTAAACAAATCGGTGAACCAAATATCCATTATAGGTTGGATGTAATAGGACGGATTACTTTGGTGTCTTCACTATTAGTGTTGTAGTAAAGAAATACAGCGCGAGTCCCGACAGCCGCCAGGCGCCCACGGATCATGTCTCATTACCGACCCAATTTGTGACCACTTCTAAGTGTGATGAACATCTACACAGTACTTAGGCTTCAAGGTTTTCAACAGTCATGTATATGACATCATCTTAGTATGCAGACTACTTGTAAACATTATAAACCGTCACTTTATGTTTATTATTTTAAACAGGTTGTCCTTTTTAGAGTTTTTGAATATGTTACTTGTCTTTCTTATTGCCTTTCAAGGTTCTTATAAATTGTTCACGTTTTTTAAATAAAGATATTACCTCTACTACTCCACCTTTATCGTAAATTAGATTATTAAATTGAAAAAGTTCATTTTCTTGACGATTCCCCACAATATAATTTAAAAAGTCATAGGCTTCTTATAAGTTTCCCTTCTTTTTATAACCTTTAGGGTTCGGGATCCAAAGGATAAAGACAGGACCCTATTACTAAGACTTCGATGTCCGTCCGTCTGTCACCAGGCTCTATCTCGTGAACCGTGCTATCTAAACAATCGATTTTTTTACAGACAATGTATTTCTGTTGCCGATATAACAACATAAAATAAATATTTAAGGCATGACAAAAAAACATGACTTATTAAGTTATTTTTTATAAATAATGTTATGGCGCGAGTTCGACTCGCACTTGGCACAGGTATTTTAGCCTGTGATTGCCTGGTAGTAATAACTACCTTAGCAATAAGGTTGCCTTTTGTGTTCACGTATCTAGTTTTATGTACTTTATGGAAATAGCTTAATAAATAATATAGTAATTGATTGATTATTCTCTATATTCAAAATAAACAGCAAACCGACAGACTGATACATATCAACACACACAAAACTATTACAACATAAGTTCGCTTAGAAAGCATTTCGATAAATTATTAAAGAGAATTTCAAAATCATGAAAACCACGCTAAACCTTTTAAGACCCAATAGTTTTCGAGATAAAGGGGGCTAGTCAATTTCAAACACAAATTTATAAAAAAAATATCCCCTCAAAAACCCCATTCATTTAATATGTCCCACGACATAAATTGCAAAACTTTTTCTTACAATTTGCCTTTTACACAATAAAAAGGTGGAATTTATTTGTAAATAACATTGTCTGAAAGTAAAACGAATGCTACTCATAGATGGTTCCCGAGCCGCGCTTGTGAATAACCCCGCTAATTCGTACGCCGACGAGCTAATTCACCAATTAGAATGTTATTCATTCGATCTAAGGTGTCAGAATTATTTTATTTGGTTCACCGCTAGCGACTTCGCCAGCGTGGTCATGTATTATAGAGGTACAATAAACTTTCCTTTCGAATCACTCCATTTTGTATTCACTGTTATATTCACTGAATGTATTTTGATGAAATCCCCATTTAAATTCGTTGTGTATATACCTAGTTTAAAAGATTTCAACGTACAGACAGCAGGAAGCTACTATGCATAGATGAGATGTATTCCGTCGTAATTGTTTTTTGTTGTTCTAAATAACACAAACATGGTTAACGCGATAAGAGTTTTTCATGCGAACAAAAGTGAGTGAATTTCAATTGAGATGATTAATTAGTAGCTGGTACTATAGTGAGTGTTTGGGTGTCGTATGGCCGGCGCCGGTGACGTCAGACGGATTAGTGATTTTTGTGTCGCGTATGACCCACCAGTCCAGATTATATCGTCCCTTACATAAATAAATATCATAACATTTTTGAGAAAGAAAATATTAATGTTCAATAAAACAGAAGAAAGCTTTCTTCTTACTTTGTTGATTGCAAATTTTAGGTTTAGTTGCTATCTTAAAATTATCTAAGAGTGGAATATTATAAATCAAATCGTTGTACAAATGTGCATCAATGAAAAGAAGTAGTACATACACAAATACATACACAAATAGAAGTTTAGTTTTTAAATTAACAAGACAATTTGGTCCTTCGAGCCAGGTAATAAGTACACATGTCAAAATACGCAATATTTTTTCCACTCAAACAACAATGCCATTGGTAGATAAGCAGTTATGACAATCGCTTTGTGTATAGTTTTATGATGGTGGTTTTTACCGTTTAAGCGCTACGCTGGCACGAAATATGTGAAACGCTGGCACTTGCACTGTAGAGATAACGAGAAATAGAATCTATGGACCTTAGACAGACCCCGAACAGAAAGAAAGAAGGCAAGGCTCGCCGGTAAAGAATTGCCGTAGTGGCCGCAAGCAAATCACAGCACAGACACTCATCCAGCAACGGGGTAGTTAATTATGATGAGTGAGCGTATCGAGGAGGTCGAAGACGCAAAATTTATCGCGTCCGGTGTAAATAATATATTAGGATGGAAGTCCAAAAAAATTCGTTCGTACGTATTTCGAAAAGCATCGTTAGCACCCACTGATCCACACACAGGGCCTACTTGGTAGGCTATGGCCCGTCCATAACAATATTCGCATTAGCATTTGAAAAAGAAATCAGATCATAAATTAATAAACAACATATGTATACACCATATAAAATAAACAAACAAAACAAAAATACGCAAAGAAACTAAAAACTGCGATGTTGTGTGCTGCTAAAACTGGCACCAGCTCAGTATATGGAATGGGTTTTACACATTGCACTGGCATTCTGCTAAAGCCAGCAGTGATAACACGCGATAAGCGCGTTGATCAACGATCATGGTTGCTGAGAAACTTTCGCAAGAGTCAATCACGAGGCAAGTAAGGCCGTTGGTCCCGGCTGCATTTGCAGTCGTTTGTACCCTTCAATCCGCATTACGCCAGCGTGGAGGATATCGGCACAGGTAATGACCCATTCTCCTTGACCATCCATACGGAAGACCTAAGAACCTGCAGTGGTAACGTAAAAGGCTAATTTTGAAACAAATAGAACGACTAAAATAGACTTAACTATACCAATCAACAATAGTTGTAAAAATGTGCATCAATGAAAAGAAGTAGTTATATGAGCTGCTTGTCTGTGTATTACATACACAAATAGAAGTTTAGTTTTTAAATAAACAAGCACCAAATTTGAATTTTAAGTTAAGAAAAAAACAAATTCTTCCCCGAAACTTTATCAGTCTTTATGTAAGTTTAAAGTGGTTTTTAATGTGACATAACCTTTCTGTACCAAACTAACAATAATAATCGTAGACAATTGACGCCAAATAAAAAAAAAACAACAGCATATTCGCATACGCACTGGCATTCGCGAATGACATTGGCGTTCGCATCAGCGAATGTGGCGGTAGTAGATATTCGCATTCGCGAATGTCGGTAGGAGATGCATGGCCGTTGGAAATAAGTGTCATATTGTAATTTTATGGTAAATTATTATAACATCACTAGTGTGTAGTTACCGTATGCGGTTGGTGGCGCGATGTGCGGTCTCCACGGTGACGAGGAAGACGGCGTGGCTCCGTGAAGAGTGCTCGTTCATGTCGGTTCGGCCGGCGGCGCGGTTTCGGTTGCCTGCGCGCATCACGCGTACCATCTCCGCGGCTGACTTGCACACCACCGACGTCATCTCTGGGATATAGAAGCCATTCAGCTCCTATATAAATACATAATACAAATTAACCGAAGCAGTATTCATAAAAACCATAATCACGATTAAAAGGGTTCCATACACATGCCGGTACTTATTTTTCTTTAGAATCTATTGATATAAAGGAATTAAACAAACACAATATTATTTTTATAATCAGTTACATATGGCTTTGTAATAAAGTTATCATAAGCTCAAGATACCAAAACACCGACATTAAAATCCGCGACCATGATTTATGAAGTCGATAATTTTATTAATGTATTTAAGATATACAGCCAGTTGCACAAACTTCCATTAAAATTGTCATTAGTTTAAAGCGACATTACCCATACAAATTTGACATTTATTACAGCTTAAACGCATCATTAAACCTTAATGAACGCTTGTGCAACTGACCGATAATATTATAAAGAAGAAAGGTTAGATTTTCATTTCATTGAATAGGTTTCGAAACTACTGGACCGATTTAAATTTTTTTTTCACCTTCGGGCAGTTACATTATACCTACGCGAGAGACATACGTTGTACCTTTTGCGGAAAAAGTCGCAGGAAAACAGTTAGTATTTAGCAAAACATATTGAAATTTCTCTTTCGCGAATATAATACTGTAACCAAAGCAACTTTCTTATTTGACTTTCAGCTTGCGCCAGAGATGCTACATTTAAGGGGAGATGAATCCTTCCCGATATGGAGACGAGCACGCAGCTGTTGTCCCCCGCTGCCGCCTCTACACCAACGAAGGTTTATTCAACAAAGCGTTGCGCAAGTTCACGGCACGCTTAATATTGCCCATTACCTACATTAATATTTTCACAATCGTACAAACGTTCGGTACCTACATTTGCCGGTAATTTGCGAACGCATCAGACCACATTTGTACAAGGTTATTGTGAATTGCGGTAGTTGATGAAACTCGTAAGTAAATAGAACAACGGTGCGTGCATTAGCCTAGCCTAATGTAGCGGTTAGTTAGGCCGAGCTGTGGCCTAACATTTAATGCGCTTGAGCAAATGCAGTTACATTGATGACCACTACAACAACAATAAGAAAGGGAGAATTAATGCTCTAATGATTATTAACTTTTCACAATTAATTCAAGAAGAAATATCCTTTTGCTTTTTATTTCAAATTTTAACTCGCCCTGATACAGGCATTTTTGTTAATTTCTGTCCAATTTACAGTATGTGACATTTATTTTTAATTGCATCGAAAAGACGTTAAAGTATGTGACATTATATGACATCGAAGTTGTGCAGCCTTGGAAGACCAAGTTGTTGACTTTACTAATGTAGGAAGGAGGACATTTATTTTTCATATCACGAATATTTACTTTGTTTTCGCTTTTTATAATATTCATTTATACGATTGCCCACTTATATTAAGCGACATTACTGAACACAGCACGCTAATTCATATAAGGAAATAATATTCTTATAATATACTGTGCTGTAATTATAATACTATTTGGAATATGTACCGAAATCATTATAATTTTGGTAGTAAACACATCAATTGTTTGTGTAATAATGTCCAGTCAGTATGAGTCACGAGGGTTGGACAAGGTCGTTTCAAGGCGGGTATCACGATCCAATTAGCGCTTGAGACGGTCATATGGTGGTAAACATTTTGTGTCCACTAAATTTCAAACCCCTTAAAGTGTGTTTTGGTCCGATACTAAATTTCGTTTTCAATGTGGTGCAGGTACCGTACTCCAGCCGCATGTAGCCCAGAGATCGTTGACCTCACGTATTATTCAATAAAAAGCGAACAACTATGAGATAATTAAATATGTCCAAATTGCGCTTTCGTTTTCACCACACGCGTCGCGAGCCGCCTCGCAGGAGGCTAATTAATTACAACCACGCGTATTATGGCTTACACGACAAGCAAAAATTAAGCCAAAATACCATTCTCATTATTTAGTTATAATAGAATAGCCAAGCTAATACAAACCGATCACCTCAACATGATGTATTATTGGAATAGAAGAATCGATGGCTCTACCACATTTTATAATTACATCAGTTTGATATGAGATACAGACACAAGGATTAGACTCAATTTCATAAGTTCGTTAATTCGAATTCAATGAAAAATGTATGAAGTTAAATCAGTTCAGTAACGCGATAAACCCGCGAGCCTTTATTCCTGAATCACCGGTACAACAAGATCTGGACACGAGGTGTGTCTCTTAAGCAACACTTTGCTGGTGTTTCTTTTACTTATAAGCCTTGTTCCAATGCAAACAGAAGCAGCACGTGGCGATCTAATTTCGAATAACTGATAGCTGACGGTGAGGTGACAATGAATCATATTCACGCTCGATAACAATCAGTGTCAATAATTGGATAATTGGCTAATTGGCCGCCAGGTGACCCGAGCACTGTGACCACTACGTCTAGCTCTGATAAATACACGCTCTGTTAGCAAATAACTCATTTATATCACACATGTTTGTTTTGAGACTGGCGTTGTACTCTTAAATTGATAAAAACAAATAATATATATCTGAATCTGATTATATAAAGAGAGCGTAAGAAACCAACAACCTTCACAGACAGGGTTCGATCGATTGCTGGACGCCTGTGTTTTGTCCTCTAATGTATAATTGATTATTTCCCTACATACTAGCGAAATGACAAATAAAGATAATATGTGTTAAGTATCTACATAATAATAAAGTAGCTTTCCGCCAATGGCTTCGCGCGCATGATCCATAAAAATCTGTTACGTAGTTTAAAAGATCTAAGCATACATAGGAAAAGACAGACAAAAAGTTACTATGTTTTTCACTATGTATTGATAATTTAGGAAATTATTTCGTATAAATGATTTTACAGAACGTATTTCATTATCACTAAAACACATTTTTACGAGTATTTATAAACAAGCACTTGTAATATACAAGAATGAAACGAAAACTCAATACATTTGTATTATAAATAAATATGTACTATATTCTTTACATATTTCATGTGAAAAATCACAAATATAAACCCATACTTAATCAAATTTAAATTGTTATGACATTAATGTGAGTAGGTTACGTAACGTGGTACTCTTGTGGATAACAAATCAATAGCGTTACAATTACGAAGGTGTATGACAAATTGACTACTACTTGTTCTCTTCTATTATGTTCCTACCGATATAATTGTACTGAGACTCTTGATCGCGATAGGATACTAAACTCATAGGTAATATAAATGTTAAGTTTGTTTAAACGGGCCTATAGGCAAAAAATAAATATTTGGAAGAGAGCCAGACTTGAACGTCAGTGCTATCGAATGACGTATGAAACCGTATGGAAATCCATTTGCGATTGCAAAAGTCTCGATTACGGATCGTTATCAAACGATAACGGATTAATAATAATGTAAGCATAATAGTAATAGAAACCGGATACAAGAAAGTATCCATGTATACAGTTTCAATGCACAAACTGCTTCTCGATCCCTTACAACAGGGAGATGACAAGTGAGTAAAAAAAAAATCTATTTATTCCGTCAGTCAGATAATAGAAAAATATTAGATACATATTTTTTTGCTTGAATTTAAACAAGAAATGCCTTAGATAATATGCATTAAATTTGAGGGGTGAGGGCTCGATAGTTTTGTAGAAAATGTACAAAATCGTGACGCCTTGCTATATTTCAACTCAATGTATCGCCGTAATTTATTGATAATGCAAAAAAGTACGTGTTTAATATTCTTCAATAATCTAGCTGACGGACAAACAAATAAAAATTATTCGTCATCTCTATTGGCTCGCATCGCTATTTGACTCAACAACTGACAGAAATCGGTACACCATTTCACTGACAATGAGTGCATGTTAACATTTTTCGGAAGCTTCACACGTCCTTGGATACAGCTGAAAAGTTTTTCTGGCCGAGCAAAAATATCACTGAGCTATATCCATTTCGTATCATTGCAACACACTTTACAGGCATTCAATTAGGTTTTATCTGTTTGTACGTTCTTTTTAATTTATGCACTGAAAATGTGTACAGATTTTACAAAAACTTTGGGTATCTTTCTTTGGTGTAGACTTTATTTTAAAAAATACTGTCTCGGGTATAAGGTTGACTAAAACAGACGAACCTTGCAAGTGCTCTTCCAACTGAGCTACTGAGGGCCTAACTGGACTGACTAATTTTGCAATACACGTACTTATAGTTTCGCTGCACACGAGCATATTTCCGTCAATGTTTAGGTAATCTACTCATAAACAGCCGAAAGAAACAGTCTGTTCGACTGCCAGATAATAAGGACGTATTTATCGTGCATAATATTCTTTCGTTTCAGAGTGTTGTTGATGTCATGATGCTAATCATGCTTTACGATTAGATATTCCAATATATCGTGTATATCATTAAGACTTATCAAAGCTTTGATAACACTGAGCACCTATCTATCTAAGAAAAGGAAAACGGTAAATAAATACACTAAACGAACACTGATTATATTTTCTGTTCAAAACTTTTGTTTATCCTGCGGAACATCATAATAATAAAAAATAAATAAACAGCACAACGATTTACAATAATACCGACATAGCTTTTACCATTGTGCGAACACCGGAGTGATGTCACGGTTTACAAGCAAACGTAATGTTGTCATAAGTGCGCGGGCGCGCGCCTTCGGAACATCTTGTTGTGCCATCATCAATATTGACACTTCACGAGAATCAATGGCTCGCTCTGTTATCTTAACAAACTTCAACAATGTGTTTTACGCATAACTAAGGTCACACATACACGTTAGCCTCACAACTTCTAAAAATACCAATTGTGATTATACGAATTCAACTACAAATACTTTGGTTCAAGATATGTTTGGTTCGACTATAATTTGCACAATATTGTCTGTTGAAAAAATAATATCAAAGTATAGTATATCTTATAAAAACCTAACTGTTTCCCATAACTTCACCTGTGTCGCTTTCTGTAGCTGAAATAATCTTTATAAACGGTCCAGTAGTTTGAATGAACCGTCTTCAGGCATATGAATTAGTAGTATATTTATGATAAGTTTTGCATTGTAAATAAATCTACAAACCAAACGAATGGCAGTTTATCTAACCGGCACTTAATGAGTTGGAGAAAGTATGCAGCGTTAGTGTTAACGCTAATCTAAAAAAGTACGTGATGGTAGTCGGTATAGTCGATGTGTGCCAAGAAGAACAATTAATGTATTATTATTGTACTGGGTACCTATTCCTACTATATCAAATTATAGCCTGATACAAATACCAACTTTCAGTATGGAGATCAAACATTAAAACATAACAGCTGATTTTTTTTTATTATGAGGGTATCATATATTTCCTTTTTAATACATAAATTAATCCATTGACATTTTCTTTCGGATTATTAGTAAAAAAATAAAATTCCTTTAATTTCTCAATGGCATGATAAGCAAAATAGACTGGTATTTGTAATGTTATTTCAAGTCGAGGATAGAAGAGTAACTGACCTGTCCTCTTATGGTGAGTTTCTTGCCATCTTTGGCGAGCAGGTCGCGGACATCCTCCAGGTACAGTTCGACGTATGAGCAAGCGACAAGGTGGGTTACATCCGGCGAAGCGCTGTTCTCTATGTGCGCCCAGATGTGTCGAAAGGCGCGCGGGATGATGCCCTCGTGTTCCGTAGTACCTTCCATCGTGTGCGTCTTTCCTGTTCCCGTCTGACCGTACGCGAACACGCATCCATTGAAGCCATCCAACACGCTCGCCACCAATGGCCGGACCTGTCATCAGAATAAATAAATATTACTAATAACACGATTAAATCGTTTAAGGAGAGGAGACTATGATCCTCTCCTTGCGCACACGGACCCTGTGCGATTTGACGCGGATGCAGACGGGACAGACCAACAGCTTATTCCGTACATACGGAGGGAGTGCTAAATGATACATTTTTGGATATCTATACGATGATCGTAATCGTACTATCTAGATTTTCTACGTATTATTTTTATGTACGCGGCCTTCATTTCAGTATCCACAGAAACAAAAAAAAATATTAAAACACTATTAAATGCATAATTCAATTATAGGATCAGATACAGTTTTAAATGTTTTAAAGTAAAAAATAATTCCATCTATACGTATAACATTTGTGCAGTTAAAGGTTTGTAGCCGTATAATAACGGATAAATAATTTTAACGGTTTTAAGAGTCGGTGCAAATCAGACGGAAGATCCTTCAAATGTCTCACGAAAAAAGGAAAAACGTCTAAAAAAAATAATTTATTCAGTCTAGGCTGTTACAAGCTAATGTTAAAGATTTACAGTGGGAGACCTTCTACTGAGAAAGACCCCCAAAAAACTGAGAGTCACTTTTCTCCCTCTTTCCGCCGTTTATTTCACATAGAATTCAAATTAAAAAAATGTTCCATGAGAATATGAAGTTTTTTATTTTTTATTAGGTCTACTTACACTTTCATGCACTATTTGTGGTTTACACATAATAATTACATCTAAGTTTGGATTACAGTACATAAACCAATTACAAGCGGATCCCGCTTGCATCAATGCAGTGTTTTAATATAATATGTCTTTCACTGATCAATTGTAATACTTCTTACCTTACTAGGCGAGTCTAAAAAAAATATATTTATCAATGAATCGAAAGTTTAAAATATCCCATTAGAAAAAGAAAACATTCCAAAAAGAGATAATTATTTCGTTAATCGATTAATATATTATCTGCCGTCGAGTGTGCAAGATATTTGCCAGTCCTGGAGCTCTATTTTTATCCGACTGCGCAACGCAAAGGAAGGTAATGTTTTTATGAGTCTATGTATGTATGTTTGTTTCAATATGGCATTGTAAAGACCAAACGGCTTGACCAATTTTGACGATTTATACGTCAATCGATTTGTCTTAAACCTTGCGAGTGTCACTCAACACATAACAGTAATCAAAATTCTTTTTTTAGTGTACCTCCCCTAAATATAAAGTGAGAATTTTATTTTTATTATCCTATAGGTCTTTCAAAAATATTAGAAGTGTGCGAAGACCGTTTTTATTACAACTTTAAGTGCCAAGAACTACTTTGGACCGAGCTGCTAAAAGACAAGCATATGTAGCTTTGATCCGAGTGAGGTCTCTAGAGGCACTAATAATCAGTAGTTTAGAGCACCGCAAGATGCTTTATAGTGAAAAAAATATATAATTACTTTCACTAAAAACTTCAATTTCAAAAGCAGAACAGAAGGATCAACAGTCGGGGCCCATTCGAATTATACGGGGCTCCGTTGATTGCTCAAAAAGGAATTATAACACATACATTAGTGATAGGTAATTTTACAGGCACTTAATCGAACGATCGATCAAGTACTAGGTAGCTACTTTGTTTCCAACGGCAAACCTTGAAATAAATGTTGATATAGATTTAAGAAATAATAAAACCTCATATTTAGTCAAAGAATAGCCTTGTTAACGAGGTTAGAGCAATTACTTATAATAAGGTAGGTAAAAACAACACCTTAATAAAACTTAATAAAATATAAATATATTATAATATATTTAATAAACGCTTTGGTAAATTCTGAAATAGATACTAGTTTTTAACCAAGACTATAACAATTGATTAATATGAATATCCATCATACTTCGCCAGGTCCAGATTCGTGAAAACGTAACATAGAGACAAAGATATAAGTAACTTGCTGTCGCCCATGACTTCGTCTGGTTATTAAGATATAAATTACTGTTAAGTTGTTTAACGCAAACTATTTTTACTTTATAAGGCATCAATATAAATGTTTGTTAAACTCATAGGTTTACGAAAACGGTTATTTTCCCTTAAACAGATCCGGCAGTATCTATTTCATACCTACTATCAAAATCACACTGTTAAAGGTCGAATACCACAAATCTCTTTTTCTCTAGTTGGCATCGACGTCCTTAACAGAAGGGGGTTATTTTTCGGAACCCCCGTGCAATATATGAGTGAGTGAAGTTTCATTTTTATGATTGAAAAGTATTTGCATATAAAACAAAAAAACATCAACATTCGATTATAATAATTGATTTACGGCGGCAACAAAACAAAAAAAATAACACCTGAAATGATTAATGTAGTACACTGACGTAATGTACGTAGTGTAGCCTTGACTGCGTTCGTTCAGACTACGGATGAGATACAACTACTAGAAAATGCACACAATCATGAATTATTTCAATGAACAAAAGGCCATAATTTCGAACAATAGCCAATAAGTTAATGGTGCAGCTGTTTTTCCTCCAACATCTGTAACTTACAAATGAAGTTGGAAAGCCACTCCTTATGCTGCGAAAAGTCATAAATTTCTTAGTAAATTATAATAATGTAAGTAACGCATTCGGTGATGCACCGCATGCGCGTGCGCAGTTAGTGATTTTTTGTTTCATAAATGAGTTTCCTACTTTCTGTTTTTATAATGAAAATAGCAACCGGTTAGTTATATCTATTTATTACTATTGCAATAAGTAATTTCGTAGACAACATTTTTTCATCCCATTTCTAAAGCAGCCAATTCGAAAATAATCTAATCTAATACGAGAAACTTCTATAAAGTCAGAAAAACTGACTTTCCATTTCAAATAAAGTATTTAATATTGTAATAAAACCTTCTTAATGAAAAATACTTCAAATTTCCCCTTTTTCCCTGGCACTCTGAGATGAGATCATTCATCGATCCATACCCACAAAAAATAAAAAATAAATTATATTATAAACATACGTATTTTCACTTAGATGTTAGTTATATAAATACGTATGAAACTTGTTTATATCACCGGAAAATAACAAGAACCGCAAATTGATAAATTACCTAGGAAATTTATAAACTTTCGTAGGATTCTAATAAGACATAAAATGTTTTTTTTACGCTCACATTTTCGTAAATTTATCAATTTGGGACGTATCGTGGTAAATTTATAAACTAAAGTATATCTATCTATTCGTAAGATTCTAAACGATTCGACCAATAACTGAAGAGCTTTTAATCTTACGCTTATTTTAAATACGGCAAATAATACACTGCTCTCTAATTAGTCGATGTTGACAGTGGCTGTGCTTGTGTCCATAAACTTGGGTAAAATCAGCAGACTTACCAAACTATATTTTATAGTTGCAATGCCTGGTCCTTCTCCGTCGCGGGTGTAGTGAGTAGGACTTGCAATTATTAGTTTCAATTACCTAGCTAACAGTATTTTTACTTAAAAACTAGGTAGGTACCATTACAGGGTTACTTTTTACGTAGGCGAACATTGTCGTTGGAGAGGAAAAAGAAGTAACACGTGACTTATTCAACCAATCAGAGCGCATATGACGTTGGGTTATTGCTTACTTATTATTTTACGAGTGAAACTCACTCGTTTACGGTAAGTTTATCAATTTACAAAAACAATTTATCTTTCGTTTAGAATCTCACTAAAGTTTATAAATAAACTAAGAAATTTAGTAATTTGTAGTTCTTATTATTTTCCAGTGACATGTATAATTTAGAGGTAGTAAGTACAGTCAAAAATATAATCTACCACCATGCAATAAAGATTCATTTGAACGTCATGAAACCGACGAAAATCGATTTCCCTTGCAAATAATATTATGGCAGTGACCATTACTTCAAATGTCAGATATCTCAAATAATATAAATTTTGTCTATTATCGAAACGCTGATAACACTCCAAAGAAATCCACTTTTGATACAGCCAAAGTATGACACACAATATTTTTGCCTCCCCCAATATGGCCGAGCCTTCAGTGGCAAATACGCCACTGTCTTAACTGATAGACCACTTTCTTAGCCGACCGAAAAATATACAACAAAAATGCACGAATATTAGTAAATAGCTGAGAAAAGAGATTTGAGCACCTCTTCCCTTTTTTAAGTAATTAAAAACAGTTTGTAGTACAGAGACTACGTTTAATTATTAAAATTTTCTATTTTTAAAATTGTCAGCGTTTCTTTCAACACATTACAGAAGCTGGTTATCTAATAGGCATTTATGTAAATTATTATGAGATGTAATACTCATAGCGTAATGTTGGTAAGGTCACGACCACGACTGAGCCCGCGGCTATCATCTGCCAACTCTCCTTCGCCTACAGGCCAAAATTGTTTTGTTTCCACAAAAATTAACTTAGATTACCGAGACGCATTCTACAACTTATTCTCATCAACATCCTACCATTACCTTATGTTAGATAGATGATCCTTCGTTTCTTCACAGTGTTTCCATATATACAGATTGTCCGTATTTATACAGATTTTTAGTATGTAATACAGATTAGCACTGGATACAGATTTTTATACAGAGTTTTGCCTGACAAAACGAATTTCTTCAACATTGATGAATATACTCAGTGTAACAGCGAAAAATACCTAACAAGTGCTTAAATTATTCATCAGTCCTGTTAGGTCCTGAGTAGCTCTGTAGTTAGAGCAGTCACCCGTGAGAGAGGTCGTGGATTCAATTCCCATCTCAGAGTACTCGATGCTAGTGGATTTTTTAAGCATTTGTCATTTGGAATATATATTGTGTTTTTTGTGAACAATTTTATTTATGAGCATCTAAAAAACCTAGAGTAATGCAAAAGTTTAATCGGAATTAAAAAAAAGATTTTTTCTATAGGGCGTGGTTGAGTCCTAGTAACACTTTGATTTTTGTACATTTTGTAACACAGATCTTTTTTAAATTCGTCAGTCCTGTTAGGTCAAGGGTAGCTTAGTGGTGATTGCAGTCGCCCGGATTGCGAAAGGTCATGGGTTCGACTCCCATCTCAGAGTGCCAGGTATAAAGTGGATTTTTTAAGAATTTTTCATTAAGAATATTTTTCAGTAAAGTATTATGAATGCAAAACTAATAAAATATAATAATGAGAACAAATTTTCATCTATCGAAAGTTTAAATATTGAACATTGATGAAAATATGCTCTGTGGTAGCGGTGTGTAGTAAGAAGTGATTGAAAAATTCGTCATTTCTGTTAAGTTCTGGGTAGCTCAGTGGTTAAAGACCGGATTACGCAAGTCCATGGGTTCGTGTCCCATCTCTAAGTGCCAGGAGACATAGGGCATTTTATAGGCATTTTCCATTAAAGATACAGATATTTCAATGGAAAGTGCTGGGAAGAACGATCTGTAATTATAAGTGTTACAAATTTTTGAGTTTTGATCTATATGCACATAAGTACTAAAATTAAACGTTTATTTTAGTAATTAGTGTATACTCTTATTTAATTTACGTTAATCAAACCTTAGTTAGTACCTATCTCTTATTTTTAAAAGAAGTAATGATGATTATGAACAGAAAATGTGGTTAGATTTCTTTGACCATACATAGATTTGTTACAGATTTTAAAATTTTATACAGGTTATGCAGATAGATTTAAGCTGTTCCTGCGCTCGGTCAACCCTTGCTTCGGAAGACACATTAAGCTGTTCGTCCCGTCTGCATCTGCAGTCGTTAACACCTTCCAATCCGCACTGGGCCGCGGGGTAGGTTGGCCCATTCTCTGTTAGATTCCATCAATATGATGATGATGTGATATCATAATTACAATTCTTTTAATCATTCTTATTTATTCGTTTACCAGAGAAAATGAAGAAGAATCTCTCTTAATTTCAAAATTTAACGAGCATCTATCTTAGCTGAGAATGAAATCATAGTCTGATTGCAATCTCTCGAATATGTTAGAAAAGAAATACGAAAGAAAGCAATGCATCTATTTTGTGGAATGAGTAATGGAGTGTGCGCGCCAAGACAACATACTTGAACACGCTAAAATTAATGCTCCTATCACACGACCCGAGCCGCATGAGCAATACTAAAGTGCGTTGGCTGAACGGTCTTCACCGGAAACCAACTTACCTATATGTAATTTTATAATGGCTAATATAATTTACATGGTTTATTTGGTGAACGCATGCGAAACAACCTACAGCCAAATATTTTTGGCAGTATTTTGATGACAACGGCCGTCCAAACATGAACTATCCGGGATTTCCACACGAAAACTTTAGTTCTTTTTTTAACAAAAATACCTGCCAAGATTATTTAAATATTTAGAAAAATCAACATAAAAGAGACATTATTACAATGTAATGTGTTTACTTTAAAACCATTAAAATACAATAGTGATTTTGGAATTATAGAGATAGTAATCTATTTCTTTTATTTTCAATAATCATATTTTACTACCCTTGTCATAATCACCTCCTAGTCAAACCTAGGGCTTCCTAGAATTGAGAATGATATATCCACCAAATCGATGGAAGATTGAAAAGCTTCTTGTAATTAGTGAAACTTTTTTTTTTATTTAAACACATTACGCGCTATTTACACGGCATATGTTCCTTGTTTCTAACGTAATACGAGGCTCTCTTTGAAGAATCTTCCAAAAGATAAAAGCACCCTGAACAGGAGGCGGTACAATTACCTATGTTGATTTCCCTTTCTTACGGCAAGTATCATCATCATCACCAGCCTATTAATGTCGCCACTGCTGGGGCTCAGGCCTTCCCTATAGATGGCATCGAATACAGATGGACCACGCGGGGGCAGTGTGGATTGGTGGGCTAATAATGCATAAATATATGGTTTCGTTAGTAAACACAAATATGTACGTACCATCTCATCGTAGATGGTTTGTGTATCTGCTGTGCAATCGTAGGCGGCATCGTATGTGAACAGCTTGTCTTGACCTTTGGGATTGTACACCTGCACGGCACCACGCTCCGGCCACACCTTCACAACCTGCACACACACTCGAGAATGATACATCTGTCCTAACATAAGAGAAACTGAACTTTTTCTTACAACATATTGGTCTTAATTTAAAGTTAACATTTCAACACCATGGAAAAGCAAGTTAGTCATTGAGAGACAGCATTATACTAATAATATGTTGAGATCACATGAACTTTGTATTAAAAACACAAAGTCACCCCTGAATATTGACAATTTTTTCCACTTATTGTTTTTAAAGCCTTTTTTTATAGAAAAAAATAATAAATATGTAATCACAAAGCCGAGCGAGACAGGCGGGGATATTGTCTTTTTCATTTACGCCCCCTCTTATAACTAGGATGAATGACAGACAGCCCTAGCTGTAGCATAGGTATGCCCGATGGTGGCCAGACCAATTACTACAGTGAGGAGATGTATGAAAGAGCATGACAATTGCTTGTTTCAAGTCACCAGAAAGTCAGAGTTCAATCACCACCATGTTTGGAACGATAGTGTAGACTGGCTAGTAATTGATTAAAAATGTTTCAATTAAGCTGGAAATAAGAGCCTTGCTACGCTACCAACGCAAGCTAACGAACCGAAAGGATATCTTCTTCATAAATTGGAGATTGCACTAGGAAACGAAATACTCGCTACGGATGATTAAGTCATTTTTAAGTTTTATTCTCAGATTATATTTAAAATTTATTGTGATACTAGATATCTAAATTACAAAATAAAACAAAAGATATAAACAGTTCCTTCAACAGCGATTCAAGGCACCGCTCAATGTCACAAAATCCATCAAATGACAAAAGTTAATCTGACCTCGTTCAAACCACAAAACTCCAAAAAAAAAAACAATTATACCTTTATCTCAATAATACAAGGACGAATGATCCAAAGTATCAAACAGATAAATACAATTTTATATTGTTGAAGGCGGACAAAAGTGAATTATATAAATGAAATTTTCATGATAAAAAGATGCAAAGTATATCTTAATATTTTTTTATTTATTTAGGACAACAAACAATGGTAACATATATGTTTTATCAATATGTACAGTTAGCGACAAATAATAAATTGTACAACCAGCACTAAAATACAAAATTAAACAATATTAAAAATTTCTCATAATATTCTTTTGTAACAATCGAAATTATTTATTTTAAATACCGACATATGTAATATTTTATTTAAAAGCTTTGGAAGCTTCTCCTGACTAATGGAAGAAATAATTAGACTCTTGAATGAGTGATGCATTATTCAATAAATATACAAATCCTAGTATCGAAATCAATCTACTTAGTGGAATTCTACATATTTTAAGCAAAGAGATTATGATGATCAGTAGATGACGCACTGCGATCAGAGAGGAAACGAATGAGAACAATTAAAACAGTGGAATAATTACCACTGTTCTCCTGAATGTACGTTATGAGTAGTGAATTATAACGAAGTATATCTTCTTCATTATCACATAATATATCCACATCTGTGTAATAATGTGAATAATAAACTACTTTGGATAGCAATGGCTACGCAATGCGTCATCTGCAAACCGTCTCAAGTTCTGAATGCAAAGCTCAATATTTAAGATCACATCAGCATGATCATTGTGTTCATCATCATCATGAACACAGTGTGCGTTTAATTGTGGATCATCTACAATCGATAAATAATATATAACCGGCGCCGCACTTCCTACGCATGTTAAAAAACGGTGTTGTGGCCACGAACAGCGCCTATTTCATCGACTGTCCCTGAACATGACAAGCGTGAAAGAACCTCGACCACCACCACATACAATATACCACTAGCGCTAGATATATTGTCTACAGCTGAATGAGTGTTACACCGATGATATTTGACAAAATGTATGAAAACCTCAACCACAGACCGCGACCGTCGACATCACGATCTCATTAAGTGTTATACATTATAAGTAAGAAGCATTTCTAATGGTGGGTCATGATGTATAGCCGGCGGCGGCGTCTGTGTTAGTGCACCGTTTATCCAATTTGCACCACATTGTTAGGAGAAGCGACCGGCGTTCAGACCTGTAAGGGGGCGTCAAACTTTTTATTCTCCGCCACAGTTTTTGTCGACAGCCGCTCGTACCATTTCTGTTCCGGTCGCTTCTTCACCTAGAGAACACAATCCAATCAGAATGGCTTCAATAAATAAATCCTGGCAATAAAAAAAATTCACCGAAACCGACCATGCGATAGTGTTAAGTATACTAAAGTCGGCTAAGAAATTTTCATCAAAACTGTTAAAGAGCAACCTTTCAAACATTTATAGAAAAAAAAAAAATATTGTCGAATCATTCTAGTGAAAAAAAATCGGCAGTTTGCCAAATATTCTTATAGAAGCACTTCATTTTGTCATAGTTTTAATGTTCCGATATACACTGCAAGCACTGCGCAGTGGTCTTACTGCTGAAAAATCCGTTCCGTTATGGACTGCCAGTACACTGCTACAGTACCCTAGGGAAATTTATGACGTCATAAATTGCCGCCATATTTGTACTGTAAGCACTGGAGATTTCGAGGTAAGGTGCTCGCAGTGCTTTTGATCACGTGATCAGTCGAAACAGAATCAGAAAATGATAAGTTTCTAAATAAACAAAAAAAAAAATACTTACGTTTATTATAAGATGGATTTAATTGATAAATATTTTTTTTATACACAATTTTATAATATTTTCTTTTGAAAAGAGGGAATCTTTATTTATATTCACCTTGCATTAACAAATTTGAAAATGGCGCCAAAAAATAGGATTAACAGTATACTGGACTGCGTTCCGTTTTAAAAAGTCACCAGTATAACTAGCTATTAGAGGAACGGGCTTCCAGTATACTAAATTGACGTCATACTGTTCAGTGGCTCGCAGTGTATATCGGAACTCAAAAGCATAATCAAAATAATAATAATATCTTATATGATGAGTACTATTAAACAGGAGGGTTGTTTGAAAAGGCTTCATTTTCTAGATACAATAGTATTATATACAATAGTAATATAATACAATTCAATACATCAAAAATAAATGTAAGCAAATTAATGATAATACTTACAAATAGTAACAAAGTCAATCTTATGTGGGTATTTCAATATTTATTAATGATATACTTATGAAAACATAACAGTTTTTGTTGCAACAATAATATTTCTGATCAAGTACCTACTATTCTGCATTCTTTTACATTGATTTATTTATTAATGAGGCCTATTGTATAAGGTTGAATGAATCGCGTCATGATTTCGATGTGTAAGTTTGCAATTGCATAGGCGGTATGTGTCTCGAGACCCACGCGAATTTATAAATATTTTCTGCAAATACATGGCTAACAAAACCTCTACTTGAAATTTTTATAAATTGTAAGAACATATTGTCTGCAGATAATATACAATTTACGTATACTGAAACCGCGAAAAAATTTAAATGTAGAAAATATAAAATAGCTACTTTAACTATTAAACATTTCATAGAACTCTACGCACTAAGTCTGCGCATCCTTAGCACCCGATACAAACAATGTTTCGACAGAAATTGAACCTACCTCATCGTAGCCCTCTTTTTGCTCCCTATCTGAAAGGGGTCGACATCGAACGATCACTTTAACGCACTCGTTGAGTGCTGTTCGTGGTCGAGCTGACTTCTCCATGATCCACCACCCCTATACCTCCGTAAAATTATTCCAGACTCGAAAGTCAACGATATCGATCCATTCAGGGTGTATTCGTCGGCATCACCTGTTAATTTATTTTCCACGGCAAATTCAAGTAAACGAGGTATTCACACTATATGATATTTGTTTTTAACACATTGGTATAACAACCACACAACAAATATTTATAAACGTAACAGATAAATAAATAATCGTAATTATTTTACATGCACCGACAATACTACTAAACAGAACGAACGTCTTTTTTGAACTGATGTTAGACTACACTTTTGATTTGACTTTAACTTGACAGAGGATCGATCGATTGTTATTTATTTTAAATATAAAGGCAAGTGAATCTAATACGTACATCCATGTAAGACGAAAATATTCATCTACTAAATCATTTTAAGTATCTTTATTTCAATACATAATAATTAAACCAACCAATAAAAATATGGAAAAATACAAAGAAAAAGCAAGAAATGTTAACGTTTCGTACTATAAATAGTTTTTTCATAAAGTTCCAAACCCTTAAAACTCCGTTACGTGTGTATAGAATGCTAGAAACAAATCTATATGTATAAGCTTCATGCTAGCATGCTAAATCTGTGGTAAAACTAAATAGATTACCAATAACTTCATACAAACTTTTTCCCCTAGAAAGATTCCCTAAAATGATAAGTGATAGTTACTTCTCCCGCTCACCTCATTCTTTCCCCCTCTGTAAACCACCGCTACAGAACAATACCATTGTACGAGCCCACCACGTCTCCAAAGCATAAACAGAGTGGGACTTAAAAAATATAAGTTTATACATGAATTGTATGTGGCCATATACATATATATAGTCTGTCTCACGCATAAAGTGCTAAGGGCTTGCTACTTATTTAGTGATCTGTGGTAACGCCCCTTTGTTCTGTGCATACCATAGACATAAAAGAAGAGGACCGGCCATACCTACGAAAAAAGCGTATATGCCTAAACTTCAAATGCAAATTCTTCGATGGCGGATTGTCATAGGGCGTGACCCAAGATATCGATATTTGTATCGACATTGAAGTCATATTAAATAAAAGTTAGTATTTCGTGAAACTGCTACAATACTACTACTTATTAAATAATATAATATAATTTTCATTGTTAGGGGCATGGCTAAACTATTACCTATTACACTTCTATTCATTTCACACTTACGTACCAATCCTATTTATGATTATTATTAATTAAATTGAAAAATTCACGCCAGTATCAAGAAAATAATATTTTTTTAAAAGTGGCGTGAATTTATCAATTATTTATAAATCATTAAGCAATCTTTTGCTCGTATTTTGTTGGACATCTAAAATTTCTTGCGTTCTTTGTTCTTGCGACTCCGTTGCGTCACTATAGTAAATATAACATATGTTACCAGCGTATGATGGCGCTTCCCACGGGTAAAAGATTATTCGTATTCCAAATTTCATCAAAATCCGTTCAGTAGTTTTTACATGAGAGTAACCAACATCCATCCTCACAAACTTTCACATTTATATTATTTAATAATATAATTTTATAATATGATTGTACCTCGATAAATATGTTTCTTTTTCCTCTAATATAGCCAATTTTACATAGTTTTAAGAACTATAGTACCAAAATATATATCTTAAAAGTTTTACAATAATATCAATCGTGTTTTATAATTATTTCCATATATATTGTCAAGTTGACATTTTGCAATTATAATTAAATAGTTTTTTTAACATAAGTTTAATTTTGCATCCACGGGAAGTGTGACTACTGTCCAAGATAACTACCACGGTAACTATAATAAGCTTTTAATGAGTCGATTGACGAATGAATTATTATGCTTTTTTTTGTCTGTTATATATTTTTTATTGTTTTGGTGGAAAGTGACATTTTGGTCCAATGAAGTCATTTTTTATTTTTCAGTACGAAATTAAACAGGGTGCAAAAGCAGCCCTTGCAGTTTCTTACCGGTTCCTTTCTTACAGTTTCTTCTTTTCTCGGTACAAGGTTTCCCGTAATAGATTGCTGAACTATAAGCACAGAGTTTCGACTTTCTTATATGCTTGTAACTAGTAAGCCAACTTGTCTATAAATTTATTCAATAAATTGTTTTGACTGAATAAATTTCGCTTCCTCCTCATTAAGTGAGATACCGTGCGTACTGTGTCACAATTTTAGTTCAGAACATCTTGTTTAGTAGTAAACATAGAAAACTTGAAACACCTACATAATCTTTGTATTATATTATTGGTAAAAGAACATAAAAATACTGTAAACTTTGATGAATAAACAAGAGAAAATAAAGAAAACAAAGTTGGTGATGAATAAGTAACAATTGGCATAACAGTAACATTATTAAAGAAGTAACAATTGGCATTTTATTTAAAAATTTGGTTAGCAAGAAGAAAACAGCCGATTAATCAAGCATACAAATATTTTCTCAGCACTAAAACAGTCTGCAGTTCATGTTCTGTGAACAATCATGATAACGGTCAGCAATTTAAATTCAAAAAGGTAGCGTATTTTATGATGCATCAGCAAAATAAACATCCACGCCGCAAAATAATTATTTGGGTATTAAGATTATACTATTGAACAGCAAAGAAAACCTTTAACTATGCCTTTAATTTGATAAGTGTGCATATTTTAATTTTTATTAAAATTATTTAACTCATTTTATTGTATATTTTACTGGGAGTATATTATGATCAGAATTTTATATTTTAATATTATTATATATTGCATTCTGATTTTTTTCAATTAAAATAGTCGTCATATGACCGCAAGACTAAAAATAAGGTACATTTATAGAATAACAAAATGACTATATAAAAAACTAAATAAATAAATCAGTAAAATCAAATGAAAATTAACTAAGTGTAATAGACATTTTTTTTTAAATAAGTTAAAAGCAATTGTCAAAAATTCTTACCAGAGTATTTGATTGGCAATGCATCATCTCGTAATTTTATTATATTTAAAGTTCGATTCAAACAACTTTCCCTAAAATGAAGTGAGCAGATAAAAGTAACTTTTTCATTACATTTAATATTTTCTGCTTCTATGTAACTCGGCCATTTTCCTCTTTTGTTTCATCTTTTGGTAATCTAAAATAATTAATATATTTTTAAATATTAAAATTATCGATATAAACCATATGTTAAAGTAACGACACTAGCCATGTAAACAATATTATTTACGGACCGAAATATTATAAAAATATAAACGAAAAGAGCAATATAGCATAAATAGAACACGCCAAAATACGATATGTATCGATTTATACACGCAATCATTTTCAGAATAACTTACTTACGTTTTAAATACTGTTATTCCAAGAAAGTGTTTAACTTACCGGTGAAACGTAATATTGCTCGGTTTGCGGGATATTGATGACGCACAACCAATTATACAGCACCTAGGCATTGTTTTGCATAAATAATTTACAATTTTCTGCCATGAAAGTTATATAAATTAAAGTTATAAATGAAAATAACCACAAAACTTATAACACTGACAGCTGAACTACTTCCGAGAATACGCAAAGCAAATTTGCAAATGGCTGACAGGTGGTACGATAGCTATATCTCATGACGTCACGTAAAAAATTTTGAACTGTCACACTAGTGTTATCTTTGTTTACTAAAGAAACTTCTTATTAGTTAAAAAAAGACAACATGATGTTTTTGATGTCAACTTCAGATTACATGATATTTATATAACCATAGAAAATATTTCCACTCTACCTTACTCTATGGTGCATACGAGGTACGGGCACGCGCCTTCTGATATTTTCACTCATAACTTTGGTCTGGGGTAATATTAACTTGTGAAATTTGTCTATGGGTTGGCTGAATGTGCAAATACTGTCACCAAATCAAATTAAAATAATTTCAGAGAGAAAAGTGATAAAAAAGTAACTAATTTATTGTTATTTTTCCAAAATAAAGACTTATGTTTTTTATTAAGAAATGACCTCATTGACTCAAAAAACAAATAAAAAAATGGATGAAATTAAAGGTAAATTGAATAGACGAAAAAGGTTAAAAATAACCTACTTTTTCACGATATGTCAAAAGTAAAACCGTAATATAAAATTTACCGTAATGTAAAATGTGTGTGTTTACGGTTTCGCGTGCACCTGTACAAGTGGTTAACGCGTTCGATCTGCGCTTGTGAAAATTAAGTACAGTCAAAATTAAGTCAGTATTAAGTAATATATAAAATAATTTGGCCACCCATCCAATTCGCAGATCAAACGCGCTAACCACTACACCATCGAGCTATTGACTTGTTTATATAGTAGGGATTTTGCCATCTTTTTGACAACTTGCGTATATATTAAAGATTTGCTAATATCAGTACAGAACAGAAAATCCTAAGTAGATCAAGCCTGTTGAGCCCTCGTACAATGGAAGCGATATCGCAGACCATTTGCGACCAATATTGACAAATTGTGCAATCTCATAAGTAAACACTTGCAATTCTCCATACACATTAAAAAGGCGAGCGATTCGTGCGATATCGCTCATCGATATCGAATTGGACGAAAAGCTTATATGTATCTAAAATAAATAATTAAAATATATTTATTATAATAAAAATGTATAACAAGATAATTGTGTACGATAAGAACGTGTAGATAAAAAACTGGACTATATGAAAACTCTCACTTATTTAAAATGTTTTTGTCGCCTTATTAAAAAGGGTCAAATAGCATCTGTACTTGATATCTCGCTCGGCTCACTTTACAGCTGGGACTACTCTTTCCTGTTATATAGTACTAAGTTCACGGTTGTTATATTTGACATTGAGCTTTATAATAAGACCCGAAGTCAACGCGTTCAGTATTTATTGTAAAATCGAAAATATACAAAGGGAATTAGATGTGCCAATGGTGTGCCCGCGCAAAAATCGCCACACTACAGATACCCTTCTAGTGCGACGATTTTTACGCGGGCACACGAAAACGAAAGAAGTCCTGCGACATAACTCTTATTACTATGTAATAAAAGCGAAAACATTGTGATCTGAGGAACCTCAGAAGATCGATTCAATATAAACCTGTGGAGTATGTTAAGGATGGAGAAATTTTTAAAAACGATGGATTTATTATCTACCAGAGATAATGAATTGGATAATTTCTACAGCTGATTATAAAGAAGTCCTTCTTCAGTTTTTATAATAATGATTCAGATCATGACTGTAGTATGTCTGGAATAAAACTAATAGGTAACCACATTTTTATTATTTATTTCGAG